GTGCTGAGACACAGGTGTGTGTCCTCATGGGACCAATGTGGCCACAGCAGCTTGCTCCATGCCACTGGCTTACACAGACCGCTTGGGCAAGTGAAGGGTTTCCAGAATTGGTGGCCACCTCTCCTCATATCCCATTACAGCAATGAGGAAGCTGAGGCCCGAGGGGCGCAGGGGCTTGCCCAAGGCCTCACCACGCCTCTCTCATCACCGGCTTCCAGTCCTTGTGCAAACACTTTGCCCATCTCGCTTCTCAAGGATGTGTGGGTGCCGCAGTGTTCACAAGGAGCCACAGGTCTCAGCCACCTCAGGACCTGCCTCTGTGCAGAGTAAATCACTTGAGGTGGAACCACTCACCAGAAGGGGATGGCTTGCCCCCCCATGGGGGGAGGGGGCATGTCCTGCTCTCCGGCACCCTCCTGCTGCCCTCCAGAACCTTACCACCTCCTGCTCCCACCCTAGATCCTAAAGCGGCCCCATGGTCTACCTCTCACTTCCCACTCTGACTTTCCTGGCCCTAACCCGAGCTTCTGGAGGAATGGTGTGTGTGTGAGAGGGGGTATATTATGAGCTGTTCTGTGCCTCCATTTCCACACTGGTGGGCCTCAGTGGACACACCTGTGGTGGCTCTCTTCCTCTGAGACCTCAGGGTCTCCTCCAGGTGAATGGGAGTGCCTCAACCCAGGAGGGTGGAAGTTCTAGTCCACAGATTCCCATCAGCAAGGGAGGTAAGAAGTTGGGAGCCGTCCCCGGGCTGGCAGGGGTCCTGCTGGTCCTCTCGGAGGGGCTGGCTGCATTGCCTCCCCAGCTCCAGGAATCCTTACTGCAACCCTGTAAGGAGCAGCTTCCCTCTCCCTGCCTGAGGCTGCAGTGGGAGTCCTGGGGAGCAGTGGACAGCCAATCCCTCCCTGCAGGGGCTGCCCGGCCCAGGCAGTGAGGGGCTGTGGGCCCAGGATGATCAGACTTTATGATCAGACTTTATGATTGTTCAAAGTAAGTCAAGCACCCAGGTTTTAAAAGCTGATAACTATCCCCCCCACCCCATGTAGGTAATTGAGATAGTTAAGGTTTATTGTGCGGATAAACACACGTGGGATTAATTGAAGGGCGGTGAGATAAGTGACTCAGTGAGCCTCGCCTTTCTAGTTCTCAGGTCTCTTGCTCGCTGACTGTTGGACCAGGATGCAGCTGCCTTAGCCAGTTCCCTGCTTCAGCTGGCAAGGCTCACTACCTACGAGACATTCCCAAGGAGATGCCACATGGACCTACCCCGATGCAGCCCTGGGTGCTGGAGCACCCGTGTGGAGACCTCTGTCAGCGCTGAGATGCTTACATGCTCACTGATTTGGCTTTCCTCCTGCAGTCAGCATCCTTGCGTGTGTTTTGTGACATTGAGGAGCCCTCTGTAGATCGGTGTCGGACATATGGGCTAATGTTGAACTTATGGGCTTGGATAGCACTGGGTTGGGATGCTTTCTTAATGTGCACTTGCCCTTTATAGAAAACTCTCTTAAGCGGTCATCTAGCTGAGAAGCAACAAAGCCCACAAGGAAGAAGCATACCAGCCTGTGTGATCATGAGGTGTTGATGGGATCAGATATAAGGCATCAAAGAGCAAAAAAACATATCTTCGTGAATGAGGGGGAGTACGGAGTGGGACCCAAAGCCCATCTGTAGGCAACTGGATATCCCCTTACAGAAGGGTCTCAGGGAGGAGACGAGCCAGTCAAGGTAC